ATTCGAATACCTACCAGGTGATCTTGGGAGAGGGGCGCCAGTCGGCGGCGGCTAATGGGTGCTCGGAGCCAACGGGAGCGTTGGGCCTGCAGGCCTGCGGGCCAGTCCGCGAAGGCGCAGCGGGCGGCAGGGGGGTCATTGGCCTCACCCCGCCCGGCGGCCTGCGTGCCACTGTCGTAACACACACGCACACACACACACACACACACACACACACACACACACACGAGCACGCACGCACGCACGCACGCACGCACGAGCACGCACGCACGCACGCACGCACGCACGCACGCACGCACGCACGCACGCACACACACACACACACACACACACACACACACACACACACACACACACACACACACACACACGCGCGCACCTTTTTTGGCGGTCGCGGCTTCGCGCGCAGCATCGAGGCGGAGAAAATTGAGTGCAACGGCCGGGGCTCCGCGCGCGCCGGGCTCTGAGGGAAGCAGCGCCATATGCCATCCAGGCGTGGACGGCGGGGAGAAAAGGACGAAGCGACCACCAGCTGGGGGAGGGACCCGCACGGAGGGCGAAGCAGGCAACAAGGGCGGCACGACAAGCGACACGACGGGCCCAACGATCGACCCGCGCGCGCTCAGCGAGCGAACGAATGACAGCCGAAACCACGAGGGACGCAGGTGAAGATGGCAAAATGCCAAGGAAGATATTGAGCGTCTGGCCTTGCGGTTCCCGTGCGGTCGCGAGAGGTCGCGGGAGAGGACCTTCGTCCGGGACGACGCCGCGTCAGAGCCCCCGCCTGGGGCACCAGGGGTCACCCCTCGTCCTAGGTGGCCACGCGTATACATACACACACACACACCTGTAAATCAACGGCGAAGAGGGTCCTCAAGCGCGAACAGCTGATGGACGTGCCAATTGCGGCCGAGCATTGTCAATAGCGCAACGTACCAACGACGTCCACTGCAGAATGCAAGTGGTGAGTGTGCTGGAAGAGACACGCGCACATATATTCACACTCACACACGCACGCAGGCACGCACGCACGCATATAAACACGCACTCACACGAGGAAGCCTGTGAAGGTGCGAGGGAAACTGCAGAGTGGTACGCTTATGGCCAGCTCTACATCCTGGTAGACACGGTTGGGGAAAAAGATGAGAGAAAGAAGATAAAAGAAGAACAGCTGCATTCACATAAATTTTCGACGGTCCGTGCGGATTTTTTGGATCGGCAGTGGACCCCCTCCTTGGCGCGTTCCGCGCACCAGGGGCGGCGCCATCGGCAGTGGACCCCCTCCTTGGCGCGTTCCGCGCACCAGGAAAGGCGCCAGAGGCGCCGCCACAGGGGGCCCAGCGAATATCCAAGAAATCCGCGGGGACCGGGGAAAATTCATGTTTATGTAAATGTCACCCACATCCTAAGTGGGGTTCTTGTTCTCTCTGGACAACCCGCGCAATCCTGTCACCAGCACCCTTCTTTCCTCGAAATCACTCCATCAGTCAGTCACCCACCCACTCACTCAATCACACCTCACACCGCCATCACCACAATCATCGCAACCATCGGCATCCCCATCGTCATCATCCACACCGCGATATCATCATCACCATCATACCCATCACCATCAAACCATCATCATCACCACCATCAGTCCTTCATTCACTCACTCACTCATTCACTCAACCACACCTCATAACCGCCATCACCACAATCTATCGCAACCATCGGCATCACCTGCGTCATCATGAAAACCGCGAAATGGTCATCACCAGCATATCCAGCAACATCAAACCATCATCTTCACCACCATCACTCCCCCACCCACTCACTCATTAACTCGCTCACCCACCCGTTCGACCACAACTCCTCACGCACTCACTCATTCGCAACAACACGGTGAACATCACCATCACCATCATCACCGTCACCATCACCATCACTCACCTCCTATAAGCTTCATCATTCGCAGCATCACCATCATGATCCTGATCATCATAATCATAAAATGTGGGTTCCCCGAGCCTGAACATGAAGGGAATCTCGAGCGGGAGCCTCGTCCGTGAATGGATTGTGAAAAAGTTTCAAGCGGGAACCCCCTTCTTATGGGGCCCGCCCTTCACGTTGGCAATGCGAGCGGGTCACCCGAAAACCTGGAAACTGTCGTCACATTCGGGGATCCCCATGCCTGAACATGGAGGAAATCTCGAGCGGGCCATCCGCGGCCGCTCACGCGGGAGTTCGTGGAGCGCGGGCCGCCGACGTCCTTGCGGAAAGCGCCCGAGGAGTTCGACAAGAAAGCGGTGATCTCCATGGCTGGGGCGGAGCAGCTCGCGGCCAAGATGGGTTTCGAGCTACCCCCCGCCTGAGCGCGACCGCGTCTAGCTCGAGACCTGCGGGGTTGTCCCAACGGCTGGCTCCCGCGCCCCGACGGCCCGCGGGGTTGTCCCAACGGACTCGCCTGCGGCGCTGTCCCAACGGCTTCACGATCCAGCCATCGGGGAACGCGCCCATACCAGCCGTGGCGGCAACCTCGCCGAGGAAAACCGATGTGCCCCGGACACGAGGCAGGGGAGGTGCATGGGTAGAACAGGCAGGAAAGTGGAGAGGATGTCGAGGAGGAGGAGGAGGAAAAGAACGAGGAGGGAGAGGAGGAGGAGGAAAAGGGTGAGGAGGGGGAGGAGGAAGAGGAGGGGGAGGACAAAGGGGGGAGGAGACGAAGGGCGACAACGATGATGGTGATGATGATGATGACGACGACGATGATGATGATGATGGTGGCGGTGATGATAATGGTGATGATGATGATGATGATGATGGTGATGTTGATGACGATGATGATGGTGGTGGTGATGCTGATGATGATGATGCTGGTGATGACCATGTTGATGCCGATGATGATGATGATGATGATGATGATGATGATGATGATGATGATGATGATGCTGATGACATTGACGATGATGATGATGAGGAGGATGCTGGTGATGATGATGACAATGATGATGATGCTGATGATGATGATGATGATGGTGATGGTGATGGTGATGGTGATGGTGATGGTGATGATGATGATGATGATGATGATGATGATGATGATGATGATGATGATGGTGGTGGTGATGATGATGATGATGTTGATGACGACGAGGATGAGGAGGAGGAGGAGGAGGCGCAACAGAGGGCGGGAGGAGGGCCTCCGCAAAGGCGAAGAGGCACAAGCGAGGGACAAACTAAACAGATTAAACAGATTCTCATGTGGGGCCCCACTATCGGAGTAATCCCACCAGCCCTTAAGGGCGTAAGGTGGTTTAGGGAGCTTCCTCTTCCACCCCTCCCTCTTCCCCTTCGGGGAGGGGTTTACCACTCCCACTACCCCCTTCCCTGGACCTGGACGGGGGGGTTCGCAGGTAGTTGGAGCGTCCAAAACGGCCTCGGCGAGAGAGCCAAAATCATTGGTCTTCTAACGTTTTGGTTCCATTTTGGCCTTCTGGGGGGGGGGCTAATTAGGGACCCCCCCTTCTTTGATCGATCTCCTCCGAGATGGCCCCAAGAGCGCTCCAAAGGATCCCAAGGGTGCCCCAAGAGGCCCCAAGAGGTGGCCAGGAGGCCCCAGGAGGCCGCCAAGAGGCCCCCAGGATGCCCCCAAGAAGCTACTGAGACACCCCCAAAGGGCACCAAGAGGGCCCCCACAGGCACCCAAGACGCTCCAAAAGGCCTCGGCGAGAATGCTAAAATCACTCATGTTACTCAGGTTTTGGCCACATTTTGGCCTCCCTGGTGGGGGGGGGCACTGATTAAGATGACTCCAAGAGCGCGTGAGAGAGCCCAAGATGGCCTTCAAGATGGCTCAAGAAAAAGATGCCTCAAGATGGCTCACACGATGCTCCAAGAGGCCCCAAGACCGCTCCAAGACAGCTCCAAGTGGCCAAAGAGCTCCCCCAGGAGGCCCCGAAGAGGCCAGAACCCTTCCAAAACCTTAGGAAAATCAATGTTTCGGGCTTTCTCGCCTTTTCGCTTCCGATGGCCATCCGAGGCCTCAATATGGCTCCAAGATGGCCCAAGAGGGCGCCAAGAGAGGCTCCGGAGAGCCCCAAGACGGCCCCAAGAGCGCCCAAGAGCGCCCCAAAAGCACCCCAAGAGCGCCCCAAGAGCGCCCAGGAGGCCCCGGGAGGCGCCCAAGAGGCCTCCAAGAGGCTCTCGACAGACCCCAAGGCCCCAAGAAGCTCTCCGACGTACCCAAGACGCTCTAAGAGGCGTCTGGGATCGCCAAGGGGCCCCCAAGACGCTCCAAAAGGCCTTCACTGGGGGACCCTTCCTCTGTGTGCTGCCCACTTCCCTGATCGAGGCAATTCCTCTGGGCATCGTTTCTGGATGGGCTGGTGGGGTTACTTTTTTTCGGTCGCGGCCGCGAGACAAAGGTCAGGAAGCAAAGTCCAGGACACGAACGAAGCTAATTAGCTACAGCAGGCACAGGCCGGCCGGCCCGCTCACAAAGCAGCCGCGAAGCTGCAGGGGAGCTGACGGCGGGGGTATCCTGCGAGCTCGAGCACGTGCACAGACAAAATGTCATGGAATACGGAGCCTGCTACAGTATGAGACGTGAACCAGGATAACCAAGCCCGTCAATCTGAGAGGAGGCACGACCCACACAGCAGTAACGTGAACCAGGATGGTCAAGTCCGTCGTGCTGAGTGGGAGCAAGTGGGAGGCCATTGGAGTGAGTCGCCAGTGGGGCGCCAGGCTCCACACGCCCGGACGACTGGAGCTAGCCAGAAAGGCTGAGCTGTCGTGAGCCGTGGTGCAACGCAACTGGGGAAAGCTGTAGGTGAGCCTGGAATGCTGTACCTGCTGCGGAAGGCTGAACCACTCCGTAACGAAGTCAACACCTGTCAGACCACCCCACAGCGCAAGGGGCTGGTGGGGTTACGCGAAGCGTCTAGAGTTTTTCTTCTTCGAGGGAGGAAGAGGAGGACTCATTTGCCCGCTAACTTCTCTTTTCTCCGCCCCCTCGCCTGTGGATGTAGCGCGCCACGTCCAGGGGCAGGTGGAAGTTGACTCGCCGCCGGGGGAGGGCATCACAAAGGGGGAGGAGGCGGAAGGCCAGGGGGAGTGCCCGACTGGGGACACGTCTTGACATGTTGTCTCAGCCGGGCCCGAGGGGCCTAGCTGCATCCCGCAGCGCAGGCACGCCCTGGGCCAGGCCCCGAGGCCCCAAGGCCCCAGGCCGGCATGCGCCCGCGCCGGTGCAGGTGTCGTTCGTCCACCTGGCGGACATCCTCACCCACTCGTCTCCATCGAGGAAGAGGAGGAGGAGAAGGGGGAGGAGGACGAGGAGGAGGAGGAGGAGGAGGTGGAGGAGGAGGAGGCAGAGGACGACGAGGAGGAGGGGAAGGGGAGGGGGAGGGGGGAGGAGGGATGAGGAGGAGGAGGAGGAGGAGGAGGAGGAGGAGAGGAGGAGGAGGAGGAGGAGGAGGAGGAGGAGGAGGAGGAGGAGGAGGAGGAGGAGGAGGAGGAGGAGGAGGAGGAGGAGGAGGAGGAGGAGGAGGAGGAGGAGGAGGAGGAGGAGGAGAGGAGGAGGAGGAGGAGGAGGAGGAGTCGCGAGCCCATAGGACGACGCGCCGAGTACGATTCGGGAAGGGCAAGAGCGATGGGAAAAGACAAGCGAGCGCAATCGAGCACAGAAAACCAGCGGGCCCCAGGGCACTGTTAGCCCAGCCGAAGCATCACGGCAATGACAAGAGGTCCCACGAAAAGAGCCCAGAATCGGTCAAGCCGAACTCCCAGGACACGAAACGAGTTTCGAAGGAAAACTCGAAACATATGTATTAGATGGATAACAGCATCGTCCGTGACCAACAGCCTGCGAGGGAGGAGGAGAGGGGGGGAACGTCCTCCCAAAGGGTGGACGCCCTTCATAAAAGTATCCCTCCTCCACTTACGCTGGGGATCCCCCTCAAGGGCAGCCTCGGGATCACAAGTCCAGAAGAGCTGTGTGCGTGCCGACCTGGCCGAGAATACCCCACACTTACTACATCCCACAACGCCCCCAGAAATATACAAAACATGCCCTCTCGCCGAATAGGGCGGGACCTCCCCCGTCCTCGGTCGGGGCTGCAAGGGAAGGCCCGCGTCCGCAAGCGATGGCGGGGTGCCTCTCGCGGCCCGCTTCACGCATCGCGCCGTCGCCACCGAGACCGCACCAGCGAGGGCCTCCTGAGGGTCCGCGGGAGCTCTCGAGGCCTCCGAAAAGCGCACCCTCTTTCGCGGTTCGAAGCACGGCGGAGGGGGAGGCGGAGGATCAGGTGGGGTAGCAAGAGCGAAACGGAGGTCGACTCCAGCAGGACCAGTGGGGCTTGGTAGGGGGGTCGGCCGGAGGACACGCCACTACAGACCCAGGACAGGAGGAAGTCGAGGAAGGGAGGTCACGCGACGAGGTCGGAGGCGAGGGTGACCCGACGCGTAAACCTGCGAGGCCAAAACTCCTTCTCCTGCTGCTGCTCCTCCTGCCCCCCGTCGACCTCCAGACGACGACCCCGCCCCCTGCATTTCGTCACCTTCCGAGGTCCGAGTCGCCCTCGGGTCAGGCCTGGGCAGCTCGCTGGGGCCCCCCAGGGCCGATCGCCCCAGGCCACGAGACCTGGTGGCCCTTTCGGTCTCCAGGCCCCCGCCCCTCGGACGCTTCCCCGGCCGGGTCTGGCAGCGGCCCCAGCGGAGCCGCCCCAGACCCGCCAGGGAGCGAGCCGAGCGGGGGCAGTGGGCACATCGCCAGCCGTGCTGGCCACGAACAGGGACGTGTTTTCCCCTCACGTTGGCCTCCTCTCGAGGCTTGATCAGACGCGCGGTTGCGCCGCCGACTCTAGGAGCTGCGCCCGCGCCGCGACGGCTGGCAGCGCGGCCGCGGCGCCCCAGGGTAGCCGCCCTGTCCGCTGGCCTCGTCTCCAAGTTGGCCTGGCCGTTGCCAATCCAGGCCGCCAACTGGCGCAACTCATCCAGGAGCTCGGCGCGGCGCTCGTAGACGGCCGCGCGCACCCCGTGGATCGCCAGGCCCTTCTTCGCCGCCATGTCCGCGTAGTCGTTGCCGACCTCGTCGGGCGATTCGCCCGACTCCGAGCCTGTCGGGTGGCCCTTGATCCACGCGATGCTGAGGTCTGAGCTTAAGCCGCCATGATCCTCCAGCGCGTGCCACAGCTGGCGCCACAGGTCCACGTTCTCCCTGCGCGGGTGCGCGGTGTGCCTCTTCCCATGCTCGAGACCCTCCACAATGCCCAAGCAGTCCGTCTTGGTCTTCATGGGGGTCTGGCCATGCTTCAGCGCCTGGATGACCGCGTACAGCTCGCCTCGCTGCGCCGTCTGCTGGGGGCCAGGCAGCGGCCCACATGCCATGCCTAGTAGCCGCTGCCCATTCATCACCGCGATGCCCCAGCCCGCTCCATTCGATTCTGACCAGTGAAGTGGACACTTGGCAGATCCATCGATGAAGATCTCACCCGCGATGGTAATGTCCCTGCCGCCCACGCAGCAGCACCAAGCCTGGGCGCCCACCCTCGTCGGCAGCACAGGGAGGGCCGCCCGCGGCAAGAGCCCTCTCGTGTATAATAGGTCGTTGGGCGCTGCCTGCAATGCGCGCCTCCTGATATCATCATCCAAAGCTTCCACGCGCATGTCCTGCAGGTTCGGGCAGGACCACAGTCGATGATGTAGATGTCCGCGGCAGCCCTGGCAGTAGCAGCAGTTGGGGCCCTCCACGTAGCCAGCCGAGTAGAGCTTCTGCTGCGTCCATTGTTGACCTCAATGCCCCTCGGGCACTCATGCTCAGGTTCCACCTGGAGGCGTCTGGATCTGCATGGATCATGGCCGCGACGGGCTCAATCCAGTAGCCACGCGGATCCCTAGGCGGAGGAGGTAGCTCTGGCGCATGTTCTCGGCGGTTGTACCATTCTTCCCGTTTCATACTGCGGTAACTGCGTCGTGCCATGACAAGTATCCAGCTCGGTGAAGTGTCCACCAGGTCCATCGTCACGCCGTTTCCTGTCGCCCAGCTCCACGCCGAGTGGGCGCGCCATCCCAGTCGTCGAAGAAGCAGCTGTACTGCGCCCGCTGGGCCAGAAACTTGTCCCCACGCGCTGGTGCCGGAGATCGCTCTGGCCTGCAGGTCCCAAGCCTTCTCTAGGATGTTGAACGGCACCTGACAATCGCATACCATCTGGGCCCACGTGTAGAGCGGCCCCGTCATGGCCATGCTCTCGGGCATCAGGTTCGGGGCCTCCTCAAGCAGCGACGCCAGCCACGTCGACGATGCCGTCGGGGTCTTGGCCCAGCCTGTGCGCGCTACGCTCGTCATCGTGGCCAGCGTGGATGGCGGGGCTCCGACCCCTTGTATGCCGTGCGCCATGCCAGGCGCCAGTGCGGGTCGCGCCCCTCGTCTGGCAATCCGCGCCAGTCCCCCGAGCCTCCGAAACCTGGGAAGGCGCTCCTTGACCTTGCGCACCCTCTTGTGGATCGCCGAGTAGGTGAGACGAGCGCCCGCGCGACATTCCAGTGCCAAGACGGTGAGCCGCCGCACCGCCTCGAAGCCGAAAACGCGGAGTCGCCGCGCCACTTGCTCAGCCAACCACTGCGAGGAGCTCAGGATCTTGCCCTTGTCCCTGGCGATCGGGAGCTCCGACGCCTCGAGTGCTGCGGCCAGCCTCGCGATGACTCCAACAGCCAGCTCTACCACCTCCGTCGGGCGGGACATCATCTGCAGCGAGATGTCGCCCGCGTAGATGCCCACGTGATCCTAAGCCCGCTCAAAGGGGCGCTGAAGATGTCGAACGGCATCACCATGGCCAGCTGGAGGAGGTACATCGCGATCGTGCAACCAGGTAGGGCACCAGCCGTGATGCGGACCGCGTGGGAGTAGGTCGCCCCCCAGCGGATCCTCCTGGGCGCCATATACATGGAGAGCACCGCCCTGAGGACATCCGTGGGAAAGCCGTAGTACTGTGCCGCTCTGATGGTCTTGATCCACTGGAGCCTGTCGACGCATTTGCTGATGTCAACCGGCGCGGTGATGACGGCCTCGCCCCCTGTCGCGTCAGTCGCCACGGAGTAGGCCATGGCGCGGGCTCCCACGTCGATATTTGATCCCCCCGCCCCTAATGCAAGATATGGCCTGTCGTGGGCCGCCCTCCATCTGCGGACGTGGCCTATGCGCACCTTGGTCTAGACCCTGTAGAAGGAGAGAAGGAAGGCGATCGGGCGAAAGCCACCCAGCGCCTTCGCGAGGAGCATCACGTGCACGGCCACGATGGTCGATGGCCATCTCCCCCATGACTCCGATGCCCATAAAATGTAAATCAGCATTGCCAGCGCGTCGTCGGGCAGGATGGAGTAGGCACGGGGGGGGCATAGCGTCTACGCCCAGGCCTGTCTTCCAAGCGAAAGTCCTGGAGGCCGCTCGCATCTCATGAACTCTCGGTACGGGGAGGGCGCCCAGCGGGAGGCTGCGAATTAGCTCTGGTATCTCGCCGTCCATGTCGATGAGATGCTCTACATCATGCGCACTGGCAGTGGCCATCCGCTGGGGGCGCTGCTACCTGCCGAGGTCATCATGGGCATCTTTGATGACAGAATCCTGGTCTGGCTTCTGCGAGATCGCGGCGCCCTCCCAGATGTCGCTCCAGAAGCCCATTTGAGTGTCAGCCACCGCCTGGAGAAGTGCCGTGCGCGTGCCAAACCTGTCCACTTCGTTGTGCGCCCAGCCCTTCAGCCTAGTCATGGCGAAGACTGGCAAGGCCCCCGTGATCATGCCGTCCTGAGCCCACTTGTGGAAGCTGATGGTGCGGCGCTTGGCCGCCTGCCTCTCGAGGTGCTCAGCGCAGGCATCCACGGCGGCCGCGCACGCGCCAACCAGCACGACGACGTGGTTTCCCGGGTGCATGACCGCATAGCGGATCATGCGCAAAGCCGACTCAAATAAAATGATCCCCACATCCGCATGCAGGCCCTGCCGATGTCCAGGTCGAGGTGCTCTCGTCAGCCGCGCCCATGGCATCCGAGAGTCCGCACCGCGTAGACGAGGTCATGCAGCGCGAGTGCCAGGTTGCGCATGTAGCGCGCCTCCGCGCCCGCTGCTGGTCTGCCAGGTTGGAGGGGGGGCCCTCCGACAGGTCGCCAGACATAGGCGGGGCGAGCCCTGACGCAGTAGCGCTCCACGTCCTGCAGCTGATAGATGCGGCAGAGATCCTGCGCCATGAAGGCCGTGAAAGTGGCGCGCATCGCGTCCAGGCGCCATTGTGCCTCCTCTGCGCCCTGTGGGTGTCCGCGTCCAGAGTCAGCCTGCACCACCTCGACGCATGGCTTCGGCGCCGGTGGCCCCATCACAGGACTGGCGCCCGCAAATCGAGGCGTCTGCCGCGGGAACACCCTGGGCGCCCGAAGATGAAGTTGAAGCTGAACACGGGGACGCTCTGCAAGGTCCATCCGAACTGGGTGGCGCAGCTTGGCCGTCCACCCGTCTAGGACTCGGGGCTGCTCGCATGCCTTCGCAAAGTCAGGCGAGGTAAGCCAGTAGTCGACGGTGCTGAAACTGCGCCTGTGGTGGCTGCTCTGCACGAACCCGTCAGAGGGGCCACTGCGACGGCAGGCATCACCTGCAAAAATCCGAGGTCCTCCAAGAGGGCGGGCTCGGCATTCCGGTCGGCCGCGAAGACGAACGGGGCCGAGAAGTAGCGCATGGCCTCGGCGATGCGCATCAGCTTCTGGTAGTTCACGCTGAGGTAGTCGTGGTCCCTGACCGACTCCATGTACGCGGACCCCACGACGATGCCACTTGGTGGCCCAATGTGCACGTGTACTGCCACCGCCCAGGAGCGTAGAATCTCAAAACCGTCAGTGATGCCACCGATGTGACTGAGCAACGTAGTCTCCACATGCTTCCTGACGAAGATCCCCGCCCCTGCACCCGGTAACTTGGATGCTAAGCGTCTGCACGGAGTGACGAATGGCTGCCAACCTTGGCGCATGGCCCAGGTGCGAGCTTGATCCAATCGTTCTCCATCAAGGCGAAGTTCCTGACATGCGATCACCAGAGCATCCCTGCACCTTCCATCAAAAACTGCCGGCACGAACTCCATCAAGACCCATTGAAGGTGACCACTCCAGTCGTCGTCCGTCTCGCACCTCGCCTTCCACGATGATTAGTTGTTCTCCCATGCTGCCGCCTCCGCGCTGGCGGGGGAGTAGGAGAAGCCACGGGCGCCCGCTGCTGGTCCTGCAGCGTCTGCTGGGGCAGTAGCTGCGGCGCCCGCAGCTGAGTGGGAGGCGCTGACGCCAGCAGGCTGCCCGCCTGCGGCGCGGAAAGCAGCTCCCTGCTGGGGAACTGCAGCGCCCAACCTGTGATGTGATCCGCCAAGGCATCCAGGATGGCTTCCCCCACCATGTTGCGGTCCTGGCCCGCCGCGATGGAATCCCTGGCCCCCTGCAAGATCTGCTGCAAGGAGGCGACAGCAGTAGCGGCCTCCGCCATGGCGGGCACCTGCGCGGGCCCCAGCGCGAGCCTGGCCTGGGCGACCTCCGCGCTGATGTCTGCGAGCTGCTGGTTCGCCATGGCCAGCTTGTCGTTCGTGTCGCCGAGCTTCGCCTTGAGATCCTTGGCGTTGGACTCCAGGCGCTCCACCTCCTGCGTGCAGTTGCTCTGGCGCGCGAGGGCAGAGCGGAGGACGGACGTCTTCTGATGCCATCTTCGCCCTCTCTTGCTGCTCGGCCTTGGCCAGCTCGTCGCGCGCCATGGCCACGATAGCGTTCTGCTCATCATAGAGTCGTCGTAGCCCAGCGAGTGCCTTCTTGCACTTAGCCACTGCGGCGTCGCCCGGCTTGTCGACCTCCATGCCGTCGGCCGCGCCACTGTGCTCGTCACCAGGGGCAGCGCGAGGAGGGCGAGAGCCTGAGCGAGCCCCGCTGGAGCGCGGGCGGCTGCCGCGGGCGCCCTTGTCCGCGGTGGGCCTGCCCTTGCGGTCGCGCCCGCGCGCCCAGCATGTCGACCTGCTGACGAAGTTGCTGGCGAAGCCTCAGACGCGTGTGGCGACGCAGGGCCAGGTGCCCTCGCGCCATGGGGCTGGCGCGGGCGGTTCGCCAGTGCCGCCGCCTCCCATGGCCTGGAGCTCGCCTGCCTCGCCGTGGCGGCCCGCGAGCGTCCTCCTCGCCGCCTCCAGGCGGAGGAGGCTTCTGGCCCTCGAGCGCACCCGTCTCTCACGCCTGTGCCAGGCAGGCGACGGGGCACGCCTCGCCGTGATGATGGAACCAACTGTGCACCAGCGCCCGCCGTGCGCGCGGGCCGTTGGCGGCTGGGGGCGGCCTGGCGCGAGCTCCCAAGCTCGAGCCGACGCGGCCGCCCAGGAGGAGGAGAAGGGAGAGGAGGAAGAGGAGGAGGAGGAGGAGGGGGGGAGGGGAAGGAGGAGCTGGGAACCATGGATGATGGTGTTGATGATGTTGGCGATGACAATCATAGTACTAATAACAATAATAATAATACATATTATACAAATGATAATGGTAATATTAGCAACACGTAATAGACATACTACTAACAATAATAATAATACTAATACGAATGGCAATAATAATAATACTAATACATATGATACTAAGAATACTAATAATACTACACCTACTAATAATATTATGAATACCAATAATACGAATAATACGAATGATACTAATAATACGAATAATACGAACAATACGAATAAACATAATACTATTGATACTGATAGTACTAATAATATTAGTAATAATAATAATAGTAATAATACTAATAAGAATAATAATAATAATAATAATGATGACGATGATGATTATGATGGTGAGAAGGACGAGGAGGTTAATGGCGATGAGGGTGACGACAACGATGATGGTGATGCTGATGGTGATGACGATGACGACGACAATGATGATGATGATGCTGCTGATGGTGGTGGTGGTGATGACTATGACTATGACTATGATGATGATGATTGTCATGATTACGGTGACGATGCTGGTGATGATGATGATGGTGGTGGTGATGCAGGTGATGCTGAGGATGAGGATGAGGATGAGAATGAGGATGATGATTATGATGATGATCATGATGATCATGATGATCATGATGATCGTGATGACCATGCTGATCATGACGATCATGATGATCATGGTGAACATGATGATCATGATCACCATGATGATGATCATTCCCCAATCAGAGCTTGCCTCTGTAGGGGCCCTAGCGGATTTTAAGGGTAGGTGAGGTGTGCCGCCGATTCGGTGCCCGGGTGCCCGGGTGCCCGGGTGCCCGGGTGCCCGGGTGCCCGGGTGCCCGGGTCCGCCGCCGATTCGGTGGCCGGGCCCGGGTGCCCGGGTGCCCGGGTCCGCCGCCGATTCGGTGGCCAGGCCCGGGTGCCCGGATGCCCGGGTGCCCGGGTGCCCGGGTGACGGGTGCCCGGTGCCCGGGTGGGTGCCCAGGTGCCGGGTGCCGGGTGCCCGGGTGCCCGGTGCCCTGTAGCCCTATAGCCTCATAGCCCTATATCCCTATCGACCAATAGCCCTATAGCCCTATATCCCTATAACCCATATAGCCATATAGCCATATAGCCCATATAGCGCCCAAGAGCCCATGTGCCCTGTGGCCCTATAGCCCTACAACCCTAAAAAGAATATGATTTGGGCTTTTCTCTGGTATCATGATGATGATGATGAGGAGGAGGAGGAGGAGGAGGAGGAGGAGGAGGAGAAGGAGGAGGAGGAGGAGGATGAGGATGAGGATGAGGATGAGGATGAGGATGAGGCGGAGGTGGAGGAGGAGGAGGAGGAGGAGGAGGAGGAGAAGGAGGAGGAGGAGGAGGAAGAGGAGGAGGGGGAGGAGAGGGAGGAGGGAGAGGAGGGGGAGGAGGGGGAGGAGGAGCTGGAAAACAGAGAGGCGGAGGAGGAGGAGGAGGAGAACCCGCTTCTTTCCCTACTTATGTCAGCTCGAGGGCCCTCCAGAGATCTTTCATCGAGGGTAAAGATCGAATATGTTCTGCGATGCTTATAGCATTTGGGAGCCAACGGAAGCCTCCAGGGGGGCCTTCGGAAATCTCTTACGATAACCGTGCGCCTCGGGGAGATCCCTGGTAGTCCTCTGGAGGAGGAAACGGCCGCATCCAGAGATCTGCTGCGGCCTGTGGAGACCATCCGATGCTTTTCAGAGCTCGTCGGCGGCTTCCCGCGGATTCCATAGTTTTTCGCCATCACCCTCCTGTCCACTCTCCCCCTCTCTCCACCCCTTCCTCACTCCCTCGCCCCACCCCGCCCCTCCCTTCAGCATTCCTCCGTCCCTGTGAGAGCCGTCAATGCCAGGCACTGGGATGCATATCTTGCCAGTCCCCCCCGCCACTCAGACAAGCACAGGGAAAAATCCGGCCACCACTTCTGGAGGAATTTCGAACGTTGTCTTGGCCACCGCGGCCGTCGGCACCGTCCTCGTCCTCATCCTCCTCCTCCTCATCCTCGTTCGCTGTCCTCGTCGGCATCGGCATCGTCGCCGTCGCAGGCGGCGGCTTCAGCGACTTCGAATGTTGGCAGCGTCGTAATGGTCGTCGTCATCCTCCTCCTCCTCCTCCTGCTCCTCTCTCTCCTCCTCCTACTGATCCTCCTCCTCCTCCTACTTGTCCTCGTTCTCGCCGTCGTCGCCATTGTCGTTGTCACCGGCGTCGGCGTTGTTTTCGACGTAGCCCCTGCCGGCGCCAGCGTCAGCGTCGTCGGCGTCGACAACGGCGCTGGCGTCATCGTCCTCGCGGCCGTCGTCGCAGCCGCCCTCCGCCGTGGTCATCGGCGCCTGCGTCGTCGACATCGGCGCTCTCGCCGTCGTCGTCGTCGTCGTCGTCGCCGCCGCCGTCGTCGTCGTCGCCGCCGCCGTCGACGCTCCCGCCGTCGTCGGCGTTGGCGTCGTCGGCGTCGTCGGCGACTGCGGCGTCGTCGTCGTCGTCGTCGGCAGCGGCGTCTGGAAGGGGGCGGCAGCGGCCTACGGTCTCCACGTTGCACAGGTCGAGTCCGCGGGCTGCGAGGTCGGTGGCCAGCAGGAAGTCGGCCTGCGCGACGCCGACATCGGCGACGGAAGCGGCGACGGCAACGACGGCGGCGGCGACGGCAGCGACGATGGCAGCAGTGATGGCGACGACGACGACGACGACGACGACGACGACGACGACGACGACGACGACGGCGACGACGACGACGACGACGACGACGACGACGACGACGACGACGACGACGACGACGACGACGACGGCGGCGGCGGCGGCGGCGGCGGCGGCGGCGAGGGCGACGGCGCCGGCGACGACGAGGACAACGACATCACGACAAGGAGGACGATGGCGAGGAGGACGAGGAGGAGCACGATGGAGGAGCGGGAGGAAGAAGAGGGAGGGAAGAGGAGCAGGGGAAGGAGGGGAGAGGAGAGAGGGAAAACCAGAAGACGAGTGACAAAGATTGCTGACCGAACAGCGGCACTCATCCTCCCTGCGTTCCACCGATCGTCAAGCTCCCCACCGCCCCTCGGTGACCCGGGAGGACGTGAGCGCCGACGCGTCACGTCCGCAAGAGCCCTTGGGCACCTAGAGCGCAGAGCATGGAGGAGCCGACTTGGGCTCCAACGGCATCGGCGGGGACTCACGAACCAAACGCACGTTGGGCGATCCTGAGAGGAGGGGCGTCGGCATCAACAAAAAAAGTTGTCGTAGGTCTGCGCGGATTTCGTGGGTCGGCGCTAGGCCCCCTCTTGGCGCCTGCGGCGCCTGCCCCTGGCGCGTTCAAGAGATCTGCGCAGACCCCAGAATGCTCCTGTGTATGCCGCTGTTTCTTCTTCGAGCTACATTGGTCATCGAGCTTCCCATGCAGTGGGACGCACTGAACATGGTAATACGATGTGCTGATGTTGCAGGCGCACGTCCAGCACGAACACATAGTACAAAATCTTGTGCTATCTCGTTCCCCGAGCGGTATGGCCAGAGAGCGCCCACAACGGAGCTTATACTCTTAGAGTTCTCAGCGCCCGTGTCGCCCCTGTGGGGCGACGCACACATAGTGAGAGTTTTCTTATTCAGCGTTTCGGCGTTTGGCGGAACGGGGGGGAGGGGGAGGGTTCTGGATCCAAATCTCTGCTTAGTGCGACTGTTTGCGACAGTGTGTCCAATAGGGGAAGGCTCCGCCTGCCTGAAACAGGCGCCAAAGACAGACAGGATCTACTCCATGGGGGGAGGGGGGGTGCGAGGGCCCGCGCCGATCGGCAAAAGAACTAATCAAAAAACGATCACATAGTACAACTGTTTCGCCGTCGTGAACGCCTATCCCAAGAAGGAGGAGGAGGAGCCGCCCCCCCAGTCAGCTTGCACGTGTTGTTCGATCTCTCCCTCGTTCGGTGTCCTCCTTCGTACGTTATTCATGTGGTGCGGGTTGTGATTACTCGCCTTCCCCCCTTCCGCCTTCGCGGCAGGCACCGTTACTCTGCGCCCTCTCTGGGCACTCTGCCGTTCCTGTACGTTATGCCTTTCCTGTACCCCACGGGCCTGCCGCCCAGTTCCCATCAGCTTGTTCACCACTGTGTTAAGTCGGTTTGTTTTGCACGGGCAGAGCGCTGGCCTAGACGCGGAAGCTTGCCCAGCATAAAAGGAGCCCCACCCCACCCACCCGCCCACCCCCTCCCCCCCCCCACTAGGGGAGCGCGGGGATCGAGGCCGCGGCGGAGCGGTGCGCCTCTTTCCTCTGGAACGCCTGCAGCGCCTTCACGCGGTCCCCCTGGCTGGCTCGCGCGCGCCGCGGCCGCGTGGGAGGGGAGGCGGTGGAGGGAGGGGGCAGGAGCGAGGAGATGAGGGGCGGAGGGAGGAGAGCGGAGGACGGCTGCAGGAGAGGCGACCTCCGTCTCACTAACGCCCAGGGCATCACTGCTGGCGAGTGCACGAGCACGACCACCGAGCTGGTTGCGCTTCCAATGTGTGAGCGACTAGCCGGGCCACAATGCCTCTGAAATCACTGTTAATTTGCACCCCTGAGCCTACATCCCACCTTTAGCTGTTAATAGCTCGCGCTCTCCAGGCCACAAACACACCTCACGTAGACGGCCCAATGCCCCTCTCCAAAGCAGAAGAACTAGCATGGTCCCTGTTGGGATATGCGCTTTTCGGCCCCCCGTCATTTCCTAAACGTTCGGCCCCCCGACCCGAGTCCGCGAATCTACTAAACAGTGAAGGATGCGCGCTCCCGAAGCCCAGAACCTTCGCAAATTACAATGGAAGCGCGCCCCCGAGACCACCATCGCCGATGAATTGCTACAGAGGCGCGCAACCAGCCAGCCAGCAACCAGCCAAACCCAGCCGCCAACCATCTCTTTAGATAGCAGGCAACTCAGCCAAATTGCCAGCCAATCGAGCGACCAACAAACCAACGAACCAACCGAACAAGGATAATATAGCCATACGAGCAGGCAGAGGAGCGGCGGCAAAAGGTGAAGCCCTTCAGGTGATAAGAATGGTCGTCATCATCATCAGCATCATCAGCAGCAGCATCAGCATCATAAGCATCAGCATCAGCATCAGCATCGGCATCGGCATCAGCATCAGCATGAGCATCATCATCAGCACCAGCACCAGCATCATCAACATCACCATCCTCAACACCAGCATCAGAATCATCCGCATCCGCATCAGCATAAGCATAAGCATCGGCATCATCACCATCGCCCTTACATGAGCATCGTAAGTGTCATCCGAAGGAGAAGAGCAGGAGGAGGAAGCAGAAGAAGAAGAAGAAGAAGCAGGCCAAGGACAAGACGGAGGCAAACGGGAAGAGGAGCATCCCTCGCCCCTCGCCGAGGACAGCGGCGACCAGGCCAGGACGGCGCGCGGCCGCCTGCGGCAAGTTGCCGTGGATCTCCGCAAAGCGCCACCCGCAGAGCCCGAAGATAATCGCGAGGCGGTGGGCGGCCTGTCGGCCCTTCCCACCCTTCAGCCCTCCTCCCGTTTCACACACACACATACACACACACACACACACACACACGCACACACACACGCACACACGCACACGCACACGCACACGCACACGCACACGCACACGCACGCACGCACACGCACACGAACACGCACACGCACACGCACACGCACACCTTCCTTCCCTCCCTCCCCCCCCCCTCCAACCCGCCCCTCTCCGTCCCTCCCCCTCCCCCTCCTCCACCCACCCCCTCCCGCTATGCCCCCTCCCCCTCCCCCTCCCCTCAGCCGCCCCTCTCCTTTCCCCCCACACCGATCCCCCCCCTTCTCAATCCCCCCCACCTTCCCCTCCCCCCCCTTCCCTTTCTGTCCGCGGCACCAGCACCAGACCCGCGAAAGGTCCAGTGCCCACAGGGGCCAGGAGTATCGGCTGGAGGTCCAAAACGTAGCACCCAAGGCGTGTCCATCCCCTCCCCTCCCCTCCCCTCCCCTCCCTCCTTCCCCTCCTTCCCCTCCGCTCCCCTCCCCGCGCCGCCCCCCCTCCCCGTCCTCCCTCCCCCGTCCCTCAATCCCTCCCCTTCCCGTCCTCCCTTCCTCCCCGTCCTCCCCTCGGCCCCCCTCCGGCCCCCCTCCGATGTCGCTCCCGCGGCGCGCCCCTGCTGGGCGTGGGCCTGCCGCGTGGCGCAGAAGACGATCACGCCGTGCGTGTAGTTTCTCGCGCACCTCCCGCGGGGAGCGAGGGGCGAAAGGACGAGGACGAGGACGAGGACGAGGACGAAGACGACAGAGGGGAGATGGAGGACGGCGGGAGAAGGGGAGGAGGAGGAGGAGGAGGTGAGGAGGTGGAGGAGGAGGAGGAGGAGGACGACGACGACGACGAGGGAAGCAAAGGTGCAGAAGGAGGAGGAGGAGGCGGAGGAGGAGGACGAGAACGGGAGGAGGAGAGGACGGGAGACGGTGAGGAGGGTGATGGGGGACGACGAAAACGTCGAGGGAAGCAGAGGCGGAGGAGGAGGAGGTGGAGGAGGAGGAGGTGGAGGAGGAGGAGGACGCGAGAGGGTGAGGAGGGTGACGGGGGTGACGACGAAAGGACGAGGAGGACGCCAACAAGGACGAGGGAGAGAGAGGCGGAGGAGGAGACCGGGAGGGGAGGGGAGAGGGTGAGGAGGGTGTGGGTGACGGCGAGGGGCAAAGGGGGGTGTGGAGTAGGGGCAAGGGATGGAGGAGCACGACGACGGTGGGGCAAGGGCGGCTGCAGAAAAAGAAAGTTGCAGATGGGGGAGGAAAAGTGATGAGGGGAGGAGACGGGGGGCAGCAGCTGGGAGAAGGAGGAAGATGAGCAGGAGCCATGGAAGAGGAGAAAAGAAGCGGAAGAAGGAAAACTTGCCAGATCTTGCCAAGGAGACGGGGATTTGGGAGTGGCCGAAACGGGGGGCGGGAGGATACACACGGGCTGCCGCAGCAACGAGGGCGCAGACGATTACAGACAGGGGTAAGTCCACTGTTGACGGCTTCACTCTCGCAGTTGGCCGTCACATGTGACACGCCCCAGAATGTAACGCCCAAAAATTTATCACACGCGTGATCACGAAGCCTCGCAAGGGCGGCCTCGAGGCGGGCTTCGAAACCCCATCCGTATCAAATGACACCATACGGGCGACGCTGGACCGTGATCCTGAGGCCTCTCGAGGCTGGCCTCGAGGCAGACCTCGAGGCCTCATCCATGCCAACTAATATCACGCGGGCGATACGCGACCGAGATGCCGAGGCTTCTCGAGGCCGGCCACGAGGCTGGCCTCGAGACCCGATCCGCATCCAATGATACCACGAGGGCGATATCCCCGAAAAAAAAAAAAAAAAAAACTAGTTGGTGAGGGTCGAGGACTTCCCCCCCGCAACCTGGGGTGGCTGGAGAACCCCTGAAAAAACCATCGGCACCCCCCCGAGAAAAAAACAAGTTAGTCTTTTCTTTATATCCAGAGTGGCTGGGGAACTCCCGAAAAACACCCGAAAGCCACCCAGAGTTGGCTGTTTGTGTTTTGTTCTTTCCCCCCAGAAGCCTTCACTGGCTAAAAACGCCTGAAACCCTACAAAAACAAACAGAATGGAGGATTTTTCTTGCGGTTCCCCTCCGCAGCCTGGAGTGACCAGAGAACCCTTCAATATCAGCCTTGAAAAACAAAAAAGAAGACCCGAGTTCGTTGGTTTTCTAAGGTTTCCCCCCTGGAGCCCAGGGTGGCCTGAGAACCTCCGAAAAAAACATCAACAACAAAAAAAACCAAGCCGGCTCCACCCATGAGAAAGCCGCCAAGAACACCCGAGAAAAGATCACAAACAAACAAGAAGCAAACTACCCATGAATGGGGACTCCAGGGGGGTCGGGGACGTCGTCGGCATCGTCGCCGGCGTAGGCGTCGTCGGCGTCAGCGGCGAGAGACGGTCGCCGACGGGGGCACCTGCCACCGTCGTCGTCGTCGTCGGCGTCGTCGTTACCGCCGCCGACGCCACCGTCGTCGTCGTCGTCGTCGTCGCCGTCGTCGGCGGCGGCGGCGTCGGCGTCGGCGCCGGCGTCAGCGTCGTTGGCGTCGGCGGCGTCGGCGACGAAGAGCGGTCACTGCCAAGGGCACCTGCCGCCGCCCGTCGTCGTCGTCGTCGTCGTCGTCGTCGTCGTCGTCGTCGTCGTCGTCGTCGTCGTCATTACCGCCGCCGACGCCTCCGTCGTCGTCGTCGTCGTCGTCGGCGGCGGCGGCGTCGGCGTCGGCGCCAGCGCCAGCGTCGGCGTCGGCGGCGTCGGCGACGAGGAGCGGTCACCGGCGAGGACACCACCCGCCCTCGTCGTCGTGGTGGTGGTTGTCTTCGTCGTCGTTGCCGTCGTCGTCGTCGTCGGCGTCGTCGTCGGCGACACGGGACGGTCGCCAGCGGGGGCACCTGCCACCGTCCGTCGTCGTCGTTGTCGTCGTCGTCGTGAAACCGACGCCGACGCCGACGACGCCGACGCCGACGACGACGACGACGACGAGGGACGATCGCCAGCGGGAGCCCCTGCCGCAGTCGTCGACGTCGTTGTCGTCGTCTTTTTCGTCGTCGTCGTCGCATTCGTCGTCGTCATCGTCGTAGTCGTCAGCGGCGCCATCGTCGTAGTCGTCGTCGTCGTCATCGTCGTCGTCGCCGTCGTCGGCGCCATCGCTGGCGTCTGCGTCGTCGGCGTCGTCGTAGTCATCGGCGGCGGCGGCGTCGGCGTCGGCGTCAGCGGCGTCGTTGGCGTCGGCGTCGGCGACGAGGGACGGCCGCCGTCCGTCGTCGTCGTCGGCGTCGTCGTCGTCGCCGCCGCCGTCGTCGTCGTCGTCGTCGTCGTCGCCATCGTCGTCGTAGTCGTCGTCGTCGTAGTCGTCGTCATCGGCGTCGGCGCTAGCGTCGGCATCGGCGTCGGCGCCGGCGTCGGCGTCGTCGTCGGCGTCGGCAACGAGGGTCGGTCGCCGGCGGGCGCACAAGCTCAGCAGCACCGCCTCCCGCAGCTCCTCGGAAGGGGCCTTGACAAACTCCTCGGACGGCGGGGGCGGGTCTCTTGGCGCGGCCCCGCGGCAACGGCCGTGCCTGCGTCGGCTGCTCCTAATCCTCGCTCGTCCTCCTTTTCCTCCTACTTGTCCCTCACCCCCAGAACCCTCTCTACTTCTCTACCTCTTCCCTCTTCCTCCTCCTCCTTTTCCTCCTCCTCCTCCTCCTCCTCCTCCTCCTCCTCCGTCGTCGTCGCAAGATTCATCAACAGCACCATCAAGAACAACAGCTGCATCATCATCATCATCAGTATCAGCTGCATATTTGTCATCACCATCGGCAACATCATCGCCATCGTCATCAACACCATCATCAACAGCATCACCGTTATACTGTCGCCACCATCATTAAAATCCTCATCAGCCGCAGCAGCATAACGACCGTCATCATAGTCAGCATCACCACCATCATCATCACCACCACCACCATCATCAACACCATCCCCATTCCCACCCTCATCAGCATCATCGGAATCGCCATCACCATCGCCACTAGAACCTGAGTCAACATCGCCATCATCGCCAGCAGCAGCAGCATCGTCTCACCATACTCGTCATCATCAGCAGCATCATCATCACCATCTAAGCCATCATCGTCATCACCACTCCCATCCTCATCCTCACCAGCATCATCCTCACCAGCAACAGCATAAGCATCAACAGAATCTTCATGGGAATGAAAATGGGACTTTGGCGGCTACAACCGAGAGCTAGACGGGAAACAATTTGGCCTAAACCCGTTGGGGTGTCAGTTCGGTGCCGCTTTGCCCTGAAGGCGCAAAGGAGGAACGCTTGGCCTCGAACGCTGGGGATGGGGGGCCCACAAGCGATTCGCGGCGCCTCGGCGGTGGGAGACCCGAAGGACGCGACGCACCACCGAACTGAGAGGGCATTTGATGAAATTGGTTAGCGTTCGACTGCGGCGGGGGGAAACAGGCACAAGGGGGGGAAGGCAAGCGAGGGGGGAAGATTACCACAGAATTCCTGACAGACCCGAGTTACGAATTACGAAATCCGACGAGAAACGTATGTTCAGCTCTATCTCTCTCTGCTTGCCCCCGCCTGGTCGCACAGGCCGTCGCGATGCTCGAACGATTTCCCCCTTGCAGACTGAGACCTCATAAGAAACTGAAGTCAAGCCGCCATCACGTATATGAAAGGATGGGTACGCCAGTACTGAAGCCGACGAAGTTGACCAAACCACGTCACTGCTGCGATGCCCACCGCCATCTGGTATATATGATTCATCAAATGCCGTACTTCGCTGACTGAAAATGAACACTTCAACAAAACAAACTCACCTCATTGCATTCATGCGAACACACAAAGATGAACCGCAACAAATACTTATTTCGCTGGTTGCGTCGAACAGGTATAACTGCTTTAGATTCTGCCACCATCATCGATGCCGCTTCGAGCGTTGCAATGCTTGCTGCACCAAAATCACAAACCTCGCACCATGACTGCGTATTATCTGGCGCGAATGAGCGATAAGTCGCGACCCTGCTACTTGCGATTATTCTCGCAGTCGCCCGGGAGCTTCTGAGACGTTTGCTCCAGCGGAGCCCGAGCGTCGGGGCCCAGCTTCACGACTCCGCCGGTGTGCTCAAACACTCCGACGAGCGCCTTCTCCGTGGCCTCGTGGTCGCGGCTGGGAGCAAGCGCGATTTCGGCGAGCTCGGCCCGGCCCTCTTTTTCTCGGCTGGTGTCGAGCGACAGCGACGGGGCACTTCCTGATGCTGTCGCGCACTCTCACCCTCCTCGTTGGGCCTAAAACTGCTGCAACTGCTGCCGCGCCGTTTCTGCCTGCGCCTGCGGAGAGGGTTCGCCTCCCGCCGTGCCCCGCAGCATCGCCGCGAACGCGCGCGCGCGCGCATGGCACTCCGAGCGCGCCCAGCTCAGTCTGATTGCACTGAAACCGCTGCACCTCTTCGTGCTAAACCACCACTCCTGCCGCCTTCATTGCAAAACAGACGAGGCGCGCGCTGGCGAACAGGACTGCGCGCCATAGGACCCCCATCGCCTGTCTTAAATCCGCGGCGTGGACAGGGCGAGACAAGCGGAGATGGGCACCAACTATGCCGCCGTGTTTTCCCAGCTGGGGTCGACTGTCTCGTTCGCCTGCCGCTCGCTCCTCTGGGCGGCGGGCCCGCCGGTGCATTCGCGACGTTGGCCCCGGGCTGGGGGCGCCGACTCGAACGGCGTCGCCCCGCAGAGAATCAAAGCGCGGGGCGCGCGTCTGCAAGTGCTCTTGCAGCCAAGGAAGACTCTGCCCCACACGAGCAGGAATGGCATCGACGCCGTCAGGGCGCCATGGGCATACCAGATATCGAGATCGATTCACACGCCCACGTCGCCTCGAATCTTTGTTTTACGACGTGTTGTTGAGCGGCGACAACAGACCCATAGACTCGTTCACAGTCGAGGCACGCGTTATGAACCGCAGGGGACACACATGAATCTCTGAGGCCGCGCACACGAGACGATGATGCGCCGCAGCACTGACAGCGGGGAACTGCATTGGGCACGCGGCCCCCTCCCCCATCTCAAACCCGCAAACCCCTTGCCATGGCCTCCGCTGACGACCAGGCGAACGCAGCGGGGTGGCACAAGGCAAACTTACAAGGGCCCCGCCCGGAAGGAGAATGACCGACGCGAAAGATCCCCGTCGAAGCCTCGCGGAGTCCACGCGCGCAAACTCTGCCCCGAAGTTCGGGATCTCGCCATATCTGCAGAAATTCCAAGCGAGCCACGCCGCAGATCTCACCTCCTTCATCATCAAATGTGTCCAGACTGTCTAGAATAGCTGCCTTCATGCCTTTGGCCCAAGGATTCGCGCCGTCCGCCATGTCACCCTTTACCACCGCATCGCGCGCGTCGAGGAAATGTTTACCGACTATGTCTGCGGGTCATTGATAGCCCTGGCGCGGCGAAAGCGCATGAGACATACGCTTATACGGCGTACTCGAGCTTCTAGTTTACAATGCGCCATGCGCCATTATTCGAATACCTCCGAGATCGTCAACGACTTGTGTTTGATGTGTTTATTGCCGCCCATATCCTCCCACTACTGTGCATAGGCTGCGCCTCTCAATGCGATGCATGCATAGCGCACATCAGACTTATCTTGGGCCTGCCAAGTGTATCTATTCAGTTTGAAACACTCGCTGCCACGCAAAGCTGCATTCTGCGAGCAACAAATCAGCACGCACCGCCGAACTCTCCACGGGGCGGTCGCTCTTCAGTCCAGAAGCGCCCCAGGGATTGAAAAGCCACGGCCACAGTACAGCTACGTTTTTAACATTATGGAGAGGGGCCGTTGCCGAGAGAGACCTCGACCCGGAAATGCCCGCTGCGCGGCCTATGACGAAGGGGAAAGACGATGTTGCCTTGCCTCGGAGACTGGGCGCCACGGTGCGAGCCTGACCCAAAGAGAACGGAGGCGGTCTCCTGCTTGGTGCGGTTCTGGCGGCAGCCAACCGGCTCCAACGCAGAGTCGATCCCCTCGCGGGTGCCCCGGCAGCCTCGTGCTTTCTTCCAATCTCTCCTTCTTGAGCCATGGTGGTCTTCGACAGGTCGTCGGCACAATGGCAAAGTCAAAAGTCCACGGTGCGTTTCGTGGATGAGCTCTCGATCATCACTCCTCGCTGCCCATCACTTCTTCCGTCAAAGCTCGGGCCCACCTGTTGACCGCTTTCTGAAATTCAACGATAAAAAAGACGCACCACGCACGGGCCACCCATGATCGCACCACAAATCAGCTGCAGCAGAGTAGACTGGCCCCGTGCGCCCGGTAGAGAGACGACAGCCGCGCGAAATCGCTGCTGCCCGAACTCCCCGAGATCTTGGCTCATAGCCCCACGCCGGCGTCGTCGAGCTCCGCCCGCTCGGCGCCGCCGAAGGCGTTGCTCAAGTTACGCAACTGACGCGGGCGACTGCGGCCAGCCTGCTGCGCGCGAGAAGGGGCGGCGTTGACTGCGATGATGGCTTTCTCTTTGCATCGCCCACTCTGAATTCCACGAACTGCACGGCGCACCTGCGGAAGAGACAAGTTGACTGCGCGCCATGCTTTGCCCAATAATGCGAGAGGTTGCACTGCGCGAAGCCCAGAAGCAGCATCCACGTCCGCGGCGCCCTACGATGCTTCGGCCAGGATACGCCCTGACTCGCATGCCAAAGTCTGGGCGCGACCTGCTGCGCGGACTCCGACCTAGCCATCTTCCACGGCGCGCTCGACGAGGGGAGCGTCTCGGATCTGATATCCCAGTCGGAGCCCTCAACCTGCCGGCGCCGCGCCCACTGGGGGGTGGGGGCCACTGCCCGTCAAGGGCGCGGTCAACTCCAGGAGGGCGGGCCATGGCGGCACTGCTCGTCGCTTTGCTGCTCTGCCCAGGTGCCCTCGCACCCGACCGAAATCTCCTCAGGCCGCCTCGCGATGCGTCTCGCCCAGCACTGCCGCCGCCATCAGATCGGCACGCTGGTCTCGCCATACGCGCCAGTCCTGCAGAAGACGCGCACCCACGCCGCCCTGGCGCCCTGGAACCCGGAAGGCTCCACGCTGCATCCAGCGATTGCTGGTCAGGCCGGCAGCTCTGAATGCAAGATGGCATCTCCACTTCGCGCCAGACCCGGCACCTGCCGCTCTCCGCGATAGCCCATACACCTCAGCATGCTGTCGTTGGCCCCATGCCACCTACAAATAATCAAATCCAATGTGCGCTCTTGAAATCGCCGCCATTTTCGATTTCCATACTCAGTCACGCGATGAGAAAGTTCTGAACTCAGCTTCCCAAACACCCATCTCTTGCCCCACCATGTCCAATTCGAATTTGGCCCACTCACCCTCGCGATGCCTTAGAAAGAAAGTGTCGCAGTTCCTTGCGCCGCGGACACTCGGGATCTTCATCTCACACCTTTTGCGCGAAGAGCTCTTCGCCCACTGAGATCATCAGGTGTTCCAGATGCTCGAACAGCGGACTGGAGATTTC